CATCCACATGGTATTCCTCTGTTCATGTCCCACATTAATATATTTCAGTTATGATGATTTGTGTAGAAGTGTTAAATGGAATTAATGCAATCTTTGGATGGGTATGTTGCAATGTATGAGTTCCAGTGGTGGTATTCAAATAAAGTTGCCACCGGTTTGATGGGCGTGGCTTGGTGGCCGCACTTTGCGTGCATGCACACTTTGCGTGCCGCGCGGCACTATTCTGCACCGCGCAAAGCAGCTGCACTTTGAATTCTGGCCATAAAAGTGAGTATGGGAATATGGGAGCCTGGGCGGGCGGGTGGGCCAAACACAGAGCAGCGAAAAAAACCAGTTTGGTCTCCGCTGCTCATTGCCGCTACCGACTCTCCAGAACCGAGCCGAACCGGTTGAATACCACCACTGATGAGTTCTGTTCAATAGGTTTGTGGCCTGATTTTTCTTTCTGCAGAAGAGGATGAGCATGAAGTATTCTTCCCTTTTTGACTTTAACCACGCAAGTGAAGATGTGACTGCATGTGCGTTTGCTCGCCGGCCATTTCCATGACCCCGTTGCAAACCCTTCATGTCTCACTAGCGGGCTGCAGCCCACAGGTTGGGGGCCCCTGCTATAAATGACTAAAAAATAATTAGAATAGAATAGAATTCTTTATATAATTCTTTATTGACCAAGTGTGATTGGACATATAAGGAATTCGTCATATTACATGCATATGGGACTGCCGTCACCCAAATACCTATTGCATGCTTGCATCGCAGTGCCTGATGCGCCTACCAGATGAGCATTTCAATGACATCATATACATTGTGTCATACACTCACCCCTTGACCCTGTTTGCAAATACACATGATTACAATACTCTTCCGTGCCAGAAACGTAGAGGCAATTTTTCTGAAGGTTATGGGATTAGTAGCTCAAAACATAATAAAAGCTTGAGATTGGAGAAGGTTAAAATAACATAGGTAAGGCAAAATGCATAGTTTCATTACATTTGCTTCTGATAATTTAAGTACAGACTTTTTAGGGTCAGAGGCCCACTGATATTGATGCACTGCATAGCATTTAAGAAGTTTTCCTTCTGGGATGTTTTGTCATTTTCCCAAGAAAGCCTGTCATTGATATTCCCTACAAATCTGACATAAACAGAGGATTAGCCTGATTTCCTCTCTTCACTTAACTTTTATTCTTTTATTTTCTCTCTCTCTTTCTTCTCTTCTTCTTTCCCTCCCCACCCTTGTTGATTTATTGCTCAGCTTTTATTTATTCGTTCATATATAAGTGCAAATTCTGTTAAAAGTTCCTCCACTAGATGGTGATGTAAAACCATCAATCTGACAGCAATATTGATTCACCAGAAATTAATATGGTATTGGCTGACTGAATCCCATTCATTGTCAGGAATGTATAGGGAATTCAGGAAAAGATAAAAAACAGAACAGAGTGGAATGAACACTTTTAAAATGATGCCAGAAACAAAACATTTAGTGATTGATGATGGCATTTAAGAACTATAATTATTTATGTACAATTCTCTCTCTCTCTCTCTCTCTCTCTCTCTCTCACACACACACACACACACACACACACACACACACAGAGAATCTAGAGGAAATATCAGGCCTCCCAGAGATACTGAAGCTACAGCCGATGCAGTCAGACATTAAGGTTAATGATAAACTAGTTTTACTGCAAACCGTAGAAAAAACCTTCATGAAGACATCCAACTACAGGAGGCCATATACCGTATATGTATAGCAAAAGCATGGTTCAGGTCTTAATGCCTCTTGTCTCGCGTTCTTTGTCTCACTCTCCTGCCTGCCTGATGTAACAAAAGAAGACAGAGAAGATGCCATGGACGCCCGTGCCTTGTTACTGTAATGGACCAGTCTGGGTTCAAGGTCATCCACGTTCCATCTGTGGTAGGCTTTCTTCCCATCTTTAAGAAGAGAGGAAAGTATGTCACTTGGAAAGAACACACCCTTCCATTCCCCTCTGTCCTAGGAAATAAAAAAGGCTGTTTTTTCCATCAGACAAACCATGAATAAACCCAGAGACATAGAGGAGGCAAGTGGATGTGTCCTGCAACAGGCTGCTGGAGTTCAGCAAATTGCTAATTCCCCCCAGTGTCCTCTTCCATGTGGACATTTGCATGGAGCAGGCATCTTCAAACTTGACAGCTTTAAGACAGGTGGACTTCAACTCCCAGAATTCCTCCTCCAGTCATGTTAGATCAGGAATTCTGGGAGTTGTAGTCCACAAGTCTTAAATTTGCCAAGTTTGAAGACCCTTGGCGTAGAGGAAGGGTTGTTTTGTTTTCCAATGGAAAGCACTTTTCAGGCCTTTAGCCTGCCACAGTGGCAAGTTGGTACTGAGGTGGAAGTTCCATTGTGAGAAAAGGTTTTCAATAAAAGATAAGCAGCCATCGTAGAACTGAGATGAGGGGAAAGCGTGGGGGGAAAAACCGTAAGCCCTCTGCTTGTCCTATCTAACCTCCACTACAATGACAGGCCAGGGTGCCTGTGATATGTTGTATTTATTGTTTATTTGCTTTATTTATATCCCACCTTCATTATTTTTATGAACAATTCAGGATGGCAAACATATCTAATGCTCATTCTTCCTATTTTCCTTACAACAACAGCCCTGTGAGGTGAGGTGGCCTGTGACTGGCCTAAAGTCATGCAGCCAGCTTTCATGCCTACAGTGGGACTAGATTTCACAGTCTCCTGGTAAGGCTAAAATCTTTGATGCAACAAGGTCCAAATTTCCTCTAGAACCTTATTTTTACATCCATTCCTAACTAAATAAAATAAAGTTTGTATTTTGTAAAATTGTCTGCAACCCGCACTTTTCAGAAAAAACAAAAACACCATTACCCAAGATTAATGGCCTAGATGGGGTGGGACCCAGGGGTGGGATTCAAATTTTTTAACAACCGGATCTGTGGGAGTGGCTTAGTTGGTGGGCATGGTTTGGTGGTCATGTGACTAGCTGGGCATGACCAACTCAACATCACTCACATAGAGGCACGCATTTCCTCGCCTGGCCTCTCATGACTGGGGATGCTGCAACAGTTGTAAATGTGAAAAACGGTCATAAGTAGCTTTTTTCAGTGACATTATAACTTTGAATGGTCACTCTACATAAGCAAAGTACCAGCAAAGGAGGAAAAAAAACTCCAGAGAAGTTCCAGAGACAGGAAGTCTAGTCCTGCCAAGAATGTAATAATGGAGAGGCAGTTTCTGTAAGCAACACCAGAATGTTTCCTTCCTGCCTTACTTACAGGATTAGGCCAGGATTTTTTTCTAACAACCAGTTCTCCGAACTGCTTAGAATATTAACAACCGGTTCTAGCGAATAGGTGCGAACTGGTAGAATCCCACCCCTGGTGGGACCCAATATATATACAATAATGGCATACTTATTGTTTAATCTGGATGAAAAATTATATTAAAAAAAAATGAATAAAACTCTACTTCACTGCCTCCCAATTCAGTCAAATTCAGTGGTACCCACAGAATAAAGAGACTGAATGAAATAAGATTCTGATGGCCTTCGTAAGGGCTTTAAATGTGGCTTTTCTCAAGCATTAGATCAGGAAGCTATGTGACCTATTAGGTCGCAGGTATCAAACTGGGGGCCTGGGGGCCAGATGTTTCATGCGCAGGTCACGCTCCCCCCAGCTCTGCAATTGCAAAAAAGCATTGCGATACATCGTGATATGTCACGTGATACAATCAAGTTTGGAATAAGTGAACAATATGTGTTAATCCTGTTATTATTTCTGTTTTTGCTGATATTCTACTGTTAATTTTAGCAAGAAGAAAATAATGGGAACACAAATTAGAGTGGATGTATGACCAAGAGCAGCATCACTTTCTTCTGCCTATCATCATCATTGTTATCATCATCTTTTATATGTATATGTTATATTTTTCATCCCAGTTGAAGTAATAATGTGAACCAATATTACAGGTGTCCTGTACTCCACCATTTTGGATTGAAAAGCAGAAAGATGCTTCCAATTCCAATTCCAAAAAGCTGGGACTTTTAAAAACAAATCTAGCTTTTTAGACTGTCATGAACCTGATGAGCAGGCTCCATTATGGTCGTAACTCAAGGAATACCTGTAGATAGATAAATCTGGATAAACTAGATCTACGGAAATATCTAGGAAAGGAAGATGGAATCACACAGAACTCTTGAAGAGAGAGACCCATCCTTTCAGAAATAGTCAATAAAAACTAGGGTATAGCCTCTTATATAAATGTGATAATACTGCAGGATCTAATCTGGGTCACTAATCAGAACCAGAGGTTTTGTCTTCTGAGCTTTCGGACTTGTGCTGGAGCCCATCTTCAAGGAACTTCTCTCTAGCCTCTAGATCAGAGGTCTCCAAACTTGGCAACTTTAAGACTTATGGACTTCAACTCCCAGAATTCCTCAGCCAGCCATGAGAGGGTTGAAGTCCACAAGTCTTAAAGTTGCCAAGTTTGGAGACCCCTGCTCTAGACCTAGATTCGATCCTTCAACATTATCCTGGGAAACGTATATTTGCTTTCATTCAGGTGATAATATTCTGCAGATGTCATCATAGCCTGAGATGTTGACACCTTAGAAGTCTCTGGTACTCTCCACAAAAGATCAATCTCAGAGACAGTGCCTTTAATAACCCAATATTGTAACACATAGAAATATGATATGGATATTTGCTGCTTGTGGTGATGGTGGTGAAATCTGGTTCTCTAATCCATTCAAATCTTCTATAGAATGTAATTGCTTTATTGTGGAATGGAGATTTTATAGTAGCATTTGTGTGCGTGTGTGTTTATGTATTGATTCAGTATACCGCTATGTAGACTCCTTGCATGCCAGCCAGCTCAATACAATGACAATATTTTTTAAAAAGGATATCCAGTCCAACACTAAGAGAAATTAATTCTAAAGCCAACTTGAAAAGAATTGATGCAAGTTTCCTTTTAATTAAATTCAAGTTTCCTTGCATCAGAGAGCATTTTCCATGTCTAGCACCACTAAGACTGTGTCACTGAAGTCTTACAGAGGGGGAAAAAAAAGAATAAATGCATGAAACGTAGAAGTTTCCTCCACTTGAAATTAATTTTGGGATGAAAAATTATATCCACTGACTCTATTTGTCTTTTCTCTTGGAAAACCATAATCCTATATCAATGTATACCTGACATACAAAATAAACAAGGCTTTGGTTATCATGCAAACTCTATATTTGACTCCCAGAAGAAAGGTATATTTTTCTGTTTATCCAGATGTGTGGCAAAGCACATAGAGAGCAAACAGCAGGGTATTCATAACATGCTGATCGGAAGGATCATCCATATCACAAAACCTAAGAATATACATGATTTCACTACAAATCTAAGGAAAACAAAAATATATGATATGATAAAACTTCATTCTGAGCTATCTGTTGTCCAGCTGCAGAGGAATATGTTGTCCAGTTGTGGAGGAATTAAGATTTATGATAGTAACAGGTGCTGCAATGACAGTCAGTGTGATTCTCAATCTTCCTAGTTCCATCATTTGGAATGAAAACCTGGGGAAGAAAACTTTAAAATCAGATTTAAATGCATTTTAATAGCCACAATGAGGTGAAGTACTATTTTCTCACTTAAAGTTAAACCTTCTCTCATCAGTCTTTATGTAGACTGGCCACCCTTGGAATAATTGCCTATGCTGGGGATAGATGAACCTACAGCCCTAAGTGCTGTTGAACCTAGCACATCTTTTTAATACTCACCATCTTAACAGGATTGCTGGAAACTGTAGTAGCACAAAAGTTTCTTCGGTCTCCTACCTATGCTAATATTATAGTTATTATACTCTACATGACCTATTTATTCTATATAATAATTGAGATCCCGGTGGTCTAGAGGTGAAGACACTCGCCTCCCACTCGGAAGGTTCAGAGTTCAATCCTAGGCCGTGGCAGATGTTTCTTTATCAGAGTTCAAAAAGAAAATATCTGCCATTAACACTGCGTGTAGTCATCAAGAGGGGCATTCCAGCCAATAAATGCTCAGACTCGGATTAAAGAGTCTTAAAAAGAAAAAAAAACCCTCTCTATATAATCATTAGTTTGTACAGTTACATAATGCATTGCAGTTAAAAGTAGAAGACCTCTCTTCAAAACAGAAAGAGAGGAGCCCATCAGGTGCAGTAGATGGAATACTAAAGTCAGGAGGAAGAAGAATTACAGAATTACCATGACATCTAAAGAAATGTTTAGCTTCCATCTCTTGAACAATATATATTTACCTCCTCCGCCAATTAAAGCCCATGTATGTAATCACAATGATTATAAAATTATTCTCAGGGTAGAAGTCACCAGGGTAGAAGCCACCAGTCCAGAGGTGGTATTCAGCAGGTTCTGACCAGTTCTAGAGAACCGGTAGCGGAAATTTTGAGTAGCTCAGAGAACCAGTAGCAGAAATTTTGAGTAGTTCAGAGAACCGGCAAATACGACCTCTGACTGACCCTGCCCCCATCTATTCTCTGCCTGTCCCAGCTGATCGGCTCGGTCTTCTTTTGTTGCCCTGCACAGGAGAACAGAGCTGGAAAGCAGGTTAGTGGGGTGGGGAGGGAATAGAGATTTCATAGTACCCTTCCTCTGGAGTGGGGTGGGAATGGAGATTTTACAGTATCCTTCTCCTGCTGTGCCTACCAAGCCATGCCCACTAAGCCACACCACGCCCACCAAGCCACGCCCACAGAACTGGTAGTAAAAAAAATTGAATCCCACCACTGCACCAATCTGCTATGAAATGGCTGTCTTGTGCAACCAAGACTGGGAAGCAAGGGAGAGGTAGTGAGCTGACATAGAACTTGAATCAATAGACAGGAATATAACACTCATCTTGAGCAGTTAATTTCTGGATGCTGTTTTTTTCCTGTTTTGGATAACTTGGTCAAATTTTGGCTGGAAGGGAAAAGGATGGTATACATGCTGCTCCTTCATAGGAAATGGGGAATAATAGAATAGAATAGAATTCTTTACTGGCCAAGTGTGATTGGACAAACAAGGAATTTGTCTTGGTGCATATGCTCTCAGTGTACATAAAAGAAAAGATACATTCGTCAAGAGTCAAGAATCATCAGGTACAACACTTCATAATAGTCATAGAGTACAATAAGCAATAATAATAAGGATTGTCAATGAGAGGTCTGCCCTTTCAGAAAGCATCAGGGCCCAGGTTTTCATTTAACTTTCTCCTCATTTTAGTTGACTTCTAATTTAGAGTATTACTTTCTTTAAGGTTTGTATTTGTAGTTGACTTTTTGCACATTGCCCAGAATCATTTTATTTGACTGAGGCAGCCATATAAATATTACGAATCAATCGATAGTCCTCCTGTTCATTCTATTAAGTGAAATTCTGGATAAATGTTCCCAAGTCATATCTCTGATAACAGACATTAAACATAATGTTCAGAATAATTCCTTCCAGTGAAATATTTATAGCTGATATTTTGGCAGAATTCTTGTTTTTCCCTACATGAAAACACAAACCCAGAACTAATATCCAAACACAGATTGAAAACAAAGCATGTTCATTTGTCGTCTGCTTATGGTCCCCTCCTGTTGCACTCTTTAGCCTCTTCGTTACAGTTCCTGGTTGTATACTAGGCTGAAAAGGAAGAGTAAACAAAATTGTAATCCACCATACATTGCCTAGGGATAGTCCCTTTACCTCTCTGAAGGCTCTTGCCACACAGCATTTCGCTTCTGAAGTGATGTTCTTTGGCACGGGCATGGACTTCTTGGACCTCATGGGAGTTGGATAAGCTCTTGAGAAACAACATCCTGCACATTGGTACACAGGCCTGCCGCTGAACAATCTGGTCATGCGAGCGTTCAAGATTAGTTTACATTCAGTACAATCTAACAAACACACAAAAAGAACACAGAAGAAAGGTGAAATCCTGCTCTAGATTCCATTTGGGTCTCCACCACATGCTAACCTGAAATGTTAAACTGCATCGTAATCAGCTCAAACTGTGTTGTGGGACAGAGACGTTCAACTTTTTACACATGGGCAGTCTATTTCCAAACAGAGAAACCATTCTAAGCTTAGTGTCCTTAGGGAAATCTACAGATTAATGCGTAATAAAATAAGTAGAAAAGTTTGAATGAAATGTGTCACATCAGGAATAAACTGGTGAGCATAAGTTTTCATTCCTCCCAAGCTGCATTACTATTGGGAAAGCTGCTTCATAGGAACCAGTTTTCCTTCTTTAGTAAAATGGTAAATATATTTTTATATAATTTAATGAAGCCAGTGTGTGTTCCCTAACCAGGGTTATAAATCGATATTTAATTTGCACTAGAACATGTCACGCACCTATGTGTTTACGTAGACTAATCTTTTCCATTTATAGAAGTTCATGAATTTCATTATAGATTTCCTGAACACTTATTAATCTAAGAATGTTTATTTTCTGCTTTCAAACTTTAACTTTTTATCAGTCCTGTAATACTGGAACATTAACTTACTTGGCCATCTGGCTGTTAATTTTAGTTCTGGTTCATTTAAGAACATGTTACAAAATATTGGTTATAGTAGAGGCTATGATAAGAAGTTAATCTGATTGATAGGTTATACATTTTTTTTATAAATGCATTAGTCATTAGTTGGATTAAGTTCAATGCTTTAAATATCTTAAAATGGATACCGCCTGGACCAGTGATTTGTTCATTTTTAGTTTGTTGGTCGGAAGGTCTACAATCTAGATCTTACCTTGTATCCTTGAAGAACCCTGTTCTGTACATTTATTTCCTGGACATAAATGTAAGTTTAATTGTAAATTTCTGACCTACAATGTCCATGGAAAAGAGTGATGCAGAAAATTTGTTGAGCTTTTTCATGGTGTTATTATCTATCTTTCGGTCAAACACCTTTATAGTACTGTGTGATAACGGGATATAAAGTCTAATGATCTCTCTACATGATTTTGAAGTATGTTTTACAAAATTAATGGTCTCAGTGTTTTCCATATCCATCAAACTTTGATGAGTCTTTATTCGGCATTAACTTCTCATTAAATAATGTAGTTGGGTGAACTACAAAAAGGCTCACCATTGGAAAGCTCTGTGCTTTATACTTATTCACTGAATCTACAACATGGAAGTTTTAAAAAGTATTCGGATGAACCACTGCCTATTTTTTTAGTGTATAAATCAAAGAACATCAATTTTTCAACCTGTTTGTTTGCATAACAGTCTCTGAAAAGTATGCCAACTTCTGCAAAATTGTTGGTATAGAGATGAAAGTGTTTTATTTAATTAGCTATATATTCCACATGTTTTCTTTATCCAACATTTTTAAATTAAACCTATTTATTGGGAATCTACTTTGATTAAACCTTCTGAAGTTTAGACCTACCCAGACAAGGAAGTCAGTGTGTCAGTTAGAACTTGTGAAGTGGTTATGTTAATAGTTGTGAGCTCTTTTTAAATCTCACTTGCTGGTTATATATTCTTGTTATGCTATGTTTTTAATTGTTATTAGCTGCCCAGAGTCACTATGGTGAGATGGTAGTCAAATACATTGAATAATATAAAAAAAATTAAATAAATACAGACATACACTCTTTCTTCAATATAATCAAACAATATAACAGTTTAGAAAGCATAAAACAATAATTACATTATTAAACAACAAGAATCAGCACTATCAATAATCTCCATATGTTTTTATTTCATATTTTAAAAGCATCTCACCCTGTACCATAAACTCTTCCTCTGGCAATGACTGAAAGATATTCAGAGATATAGCTAACATGGCACAAATGACAACAGCATACTTTCCATAGCAATCCATGATGTTCCTATAAAAAAGAGAAAAACAGTGGACTTTCTGCCTTCATACAATCTTTCATTAATTTCTGTTGATTAAATTAATATACATGCACTGCAGATACAAATCCAATTAATTAAGACGTGGGTTGATTTAAACCCAGGTAGCCACCAGATCTCAGCTGCAAAAATCTAGAATTATCTCCAAATGGTTGCAAAAGGACATATGAAACACTTTCTTTGCTCTACGGTGTGTCTGTTTGTAGTCCAGATCTGATTGCCTAAAGCTTAGTTTAGGATCACAACATTTAATCTGATTTCTGCATTTGAATTCTGAATTGGGCATAACCGTGAGCATTATTTTTTAAAAAATAGTACTGTACTCCTTCAAGAGACATTCATATAGTAGCTGTAATCTCCACATACTTATCAAGGAAACCAAATTGAAGAGCCTTATGTCTAAACCTAGGATGCCACTGTTAGAAATCTTCTCATTCAAGATGAAACATTGGTTAGCCTGAATTGAACCAATCAAACTCTCTTTAAATGTCACCATAACCAAGGGTGCACAATCAACCAAAATAATCTATATTTTAAGTAGATAGAGAAATGGGTAGTAATTGGGTTAGTTTGGTTTCTGAGATTAGAAGAGCAGGGTTCATCTGATCAGAAATGGACAAGCAATCTGGCATTTTTAGACAGAACATTGGCGGCATTAGACTGTATGCAGGCTGTGCTGGGATGCCAGGTTGCTGAGTGAGGCATCTGGAGATGGACCAGATGAACAGGTCAGAGGAAGAAATACTAGCCACTTTGGGGGATTTACGTGGATTGCTCCCTGTTGTGCTGTGGTTCAATGTCAGTTGGCCAGATGCTGCTTGCTGTATCTCCATGTTTGCTGCATTTCCAGCTTCTTCTGTCAGCATCCACTACTCTGCAAACTGTTGTTAACCTGAGCCAAGCAAGACCTGGACTTTTTGCAATGCTGGTGATAAGAAAACATTTGTTTTGTCATTTGTATTTCTTTTTAATTTTTAGAACTTCAGCCAGTTTCTTTTGTATCTACATATTATTACAACCCTCATATCTGTTTGATTCTTTGTAAGCTTCAATTGAGCGAAGGTACAAAAAAAGCTTGTTAAATCCTTGTAGAAATTTGTATGAGGAGATAAAGAATTGAAGAGAAATCTTATGGCAAAATTTGAATGAACTAAAGATGAAGACTGTTAGAAGTGAAAGGAAAGAATATAAAGTTAGTTTATTTGATTAAACTTACAATAAGACTATTGCAAAGTTGTGGCAATCACTTACGAACTTTTTGCTGATATTAGGATTGAAAAGTTGATGTCTTGTGAATTTTCTTAAAAATAAGGAAAGATATGAGATTATATCTGCTTGTAACTTTATTGGGAGTAAATAATTACTAAATTTGTTTATAATCATTACTGTGAATATTGGAAGTCACTTCTTTATATATATTTTTTCTTTATCATATTTTTTACACTTTACTCTTTCTTGTTATCCTGTTTCTTTCTTTAAATTTAGCTTTTGTTTTACTAATAAAAACAAGATTTTTATTACTGTAATAAAAATCCTTAATAAAATTATATATCAATAACTGACCAATATAAAATAGCAAAATGGAAGTGCTTCTGCAATGACAAATTATTGCTTCTTCTAAAATGAAAGCAAAAAAACCTGTAATTGGTAGAGATGTTGAGTGAGTTTATACGTTTATTTCTTATTTCTTGATTTGTATTGTGAATATTTAATGTTGCTCTCTTGGATATGGTAAGTCCCCAGTTAAAGTGTCATCCGAGGGCTCTAAATTACCTCTTGATTTTGCTCCTCAACTGGAAAAGCCCTTAACTTGCAATTGCAATTAATCCATGATCAGAGTAGCACCTACTTGATCCATCTATATTTGTCACACTTCATGCATTAAGCAGCCATATGAAATACAATCTGTACCTAAATTAGGAAAAGATGCAGAAGTTATTGGCTACTAGTTGAATCTCCAAATCTTTCCTGGACATTTCTACTTGGAAACTACTCTTGGACTTTTGCTTATGATGGCGGGGGGCGGGGGAGAACGAAAATTTGATTTTGGATTTTGCTGGTTTAGATAGATTTGTTGTTACAGAAATGGCTAGTGCATATTATTATATAAAAGTAAAAAGTTGAGGTTTTATGTTACTACCTTATTCTTCAGCACCAGATGGAGTCAGAAGTCAATTCTTTTTCTTTTTCCCCCTTTCCCCTACATTTTGTTCTCTTCCCCATTTCCTCCCTTATTTTCCCATTATCTTCATTTTTCTTTGTATTTTACATTTTGATAAACTAATGAAAATATTTAAACTGCAGATCTTTCCTGGTCTCAAATTGATTCCACCTTATCTAAAGTTCTTTCAGATTACTAGCATTTAGATATTTTCTAATTATCTTCGGTTCTATGCATCTAGAAATGCAGAAATATAACGGACCAATTGTTATTAATCCTTTTTTATTCACTGTTTAAGAGGAGAATGAATAGAAAACCATCCAATCCAGACCTCGCTCATGAGTTATCCCAGAATAACAAAAATCTGCTCAGTCCCAATTCATATATATATAAAAAAATAAACAGCTTTTGAACCCCACCTTGTCTGGTGGTTTCAGAATCTATATTTGTGTTCATTTGGCTTCTGGTTTACAAATAAAATCTACGCAGTTGCTATGACAGGAAAGTATGTGAAATAATGTGAGTAACAAACATGGAAATCCTACAAATGTTTCCTGGCTGCAACATATAAATTTCAAACCAGAAATTTCTTATTGGGCATCCTGCCATAAAAGTATGATAAAAGGAATATATATTCAATTTTACGTGTATAAACTGCAGCCAGAATTATTTTTGTACAACAATGGAAAAATGATGAGATCCCGACAGATAAGAGTGTAATTTAAAAAAATTAGAACCTGCAGAAATGGATATATTAACGCTTACAATTAAGGAAAAAGAAGAAACTGAATATTTCTTGATATGGGACTTATTTTACCAATGGTTAGATAATAAAAACAGAATTTAGAAATATGGGGATATAAATGCAGGACAAATGTTACAAGGAGACTTTAAGTTAAACATTATAGCATTAATATTATTGTGATGAATATCATTGTAAACATTTTGATTATGATAGCTTAAAAATAATTGTACCCAGACAACACACTATTTGATTGAAATTGATTTTTACATGTTATATAAATAAAATAAATAAAACATGGGGGGAAAAAATAAACTTAATGGAAGTCAAGGGGGAAACTTTGTGGGCATAAGGGCATTTTGGCAATGTATCTATGACATACTAATTTAGTAAGAAATAGCAGCTATTTTTCAATGTTAACCATATGAGATGTTACAAACATTTGCTCATTTGATATTCTAAATAAATCAATAATGCATATATTTATAAAAATAATAAAGGCAGGATAAAATAAATAAATTAGAGATAGAGAGATACTGTACAGGGTTAACAAATAATATTACCTTTCTTTTTTCACAAGAGTCCTGTTGTTTAAGGGTATGAAAGAGAGTTTTGGATGCTTAGCTGCAGCTTGTCTGACAAAGCTAGGAAAGGATAAACCCTGTGCTTTTCTTTTATATCTGCAAAATAGTCCATCTTCCACCCACACTTAAGCCAATGGATCAACTGTAATTTCACTCAATGGCTCAATATTGCTTGATGTAATTACTATTCTGCCATATACTGATGGTATCTCTTTCTTTACCCTTAAACTGATTGCTTTTTCAATTGTCATATTAAAGAAATGTCAGATGGTAATTGCATGGATCAATGCCATTTGCTTGTAGGAGAAGAGCTGCTTTAGTCCAAAATTAGGAGGAGTCTGGTAGTCCCTTTTCAAACTAACGAATGTTATTAAAAGTCATAAACAATTTATCAGATTAAATTGCTCATGACATCTATCCTTTAAAAACAAATTTGTTACAGTAGTATGAAAAAATTCTGACTCCTCTTGATATTTACCATGTAGATTACTCTGTCATTGTTAACCACACTTCATTGCCATGTTTTTTTAAAAAAAACTGCTGTCATAAAACAAAAATAAATACTGTTTTGTTGAAAAAAATTCCAACAGCTTTTAAAATGTTCTGATTTTCCTTTTAACCCCATAAATCTTTTTTCCTGTCAATAGAAACCAATAAAGATTAGTAAGAAAGATACATTAATTTGGACATTACTTTACACAATACTGCTTCCATCTATATTTGTTTACTCTGCAAAAAAAAAAATTTCTATCTGCAGTTTTTCAGAGACTTTATTGGATTGATTCATGATTTCAAACACACAGCCAACCCCACAACATACACATAATGCTACAAATTCCATAAATTTCAGAACAAAATTACACTTCTAATCTTTTAATCACAGAAGACATTTAGATGTCTTCTTTTCTCTCTATGCAATATGAATTCCCTTTTGCTTGGATTTTGAGTAAGAGATAATTTTGTTACTATCTTGTTTCTGAACATTTCCACAGAAACTGAATATGCACGTTAATTGTTTAGCTTCTCCAATAACCTAATTCATAGTCAAGATATTCAATAAACTTAATGGTTTTCATTCTGCTTCTGCCTTTCAGCATGTTTAGCTGAGGAAATTTAATCATTATTGTTCATAGTAAGCAGTTTTGATTGTAGAAGTAACTGTAATGAACTGTAACAACTGTAACTATAACTAATCTAGTTGAAAAAGTAGCATATTTTGTCTCAAGGTACAAGTGAATAGCTATGAATAGAGTATTTTATTTCATACTATTTACCCCCAAAATTCTTAAATAAATTTGTAAACGTATTTTTTACATCCCACCAATCAAAATAAAAGTCTACCGTATTATTTGTGAAGAATGGGAACTGGAGCCGAAACATTAATCTAACAATTAACCAACTGTGCAAAATTTGACCAGTGTTGTTGTGCCCACATTGCTGAGGGAATAGCAAGAATGGTGTACTGTATGTTCCCCTTGTGATGTAGATTCCAGTATTGTTATACTGGCAGTTAATATATTGAATTATTGTTCTTTTCTAATGCCTTTAGGCATTATATTTGGAGTGTGCAAAATTATGGATAATATAGCAATAAGGAGGAGGAGAGTGAAAAGGGAGGGGAGGGGCGGGGGAAAGTGAAGAGAAGAGACAAATTTAAGTTGTAACCGCATCCACAGTGATCTGAGATGACATCTTATTTAACAAGAATTGAGCTGTCTCTCCCACACAGATACCTATATAATATTGTAATCCTTCATATCTTTGCTTTATGTAAACTCTTTAGAACGTATTCTGAGTAGATACTGTAGCTATTATTTGTTGCATAACTTTTTGTCATTAATAAAGATCGGGACAGGTAAATGAAGATTTATAATCAAGCAAGAGTGATCTGTGATGATTGGATCCTGTGCACATTAACAGATAAAAAATTAGACTTTTATATAAACTAGACTTTACAGTGCTGTATGTTGCATAATATACATGATCATTCAAGTGTTGTTATAAAGTGAATGAACATTGGCAGTAGATTTAGGCAACAATTGCATTTTGGAAAACTGTCATCTGACTAATAGAAAAATGTCCAGTGGAGAGCCTGTCTTGTCCATATTAATATCAAGGTTTACTCAACCACCATACAATTTAAGATAATTACATTTTTCTGGTCATATCATTTTTTACTTAATTTCATTATAACTAAATTGTACTTCCCCTCAGAATTTGAAGGGCTTATTTTTATCCTTGAATCAATGCAATGAAACAGATTGTGCTGAAAGACAATAACTGATTCAATGTCATCAAGGAATAGAAAAGGGCATTGGTTAATCCAGCTCTCCAACAAAATGTCAAGGGCAAATCTTTTATATCTTTGGGGGCATCTCTCTCCTTTCTTGTTTGATTTATATCACTTAGGTAATGACTTCAGCTGTAGTTCTTTCTCTGTGTGTCTGTGTGCACCTGTGTTTCCTGTGCCACTGTATTTTTTTAAAATTTTCATTATTCATTGTTTTATCATAAAAAGTAAAATACAAAACAAACAAACAAGATGAAACAAAAGCATACATTCAACCCTTACAACAACAAAGAAAAAAATGGTGTATGAAAAAAAGAGGAGAAAGTAAACAAATAAATTTAACATTTAAGATATATTTAAATAATTTTAAATAAATTTGAATTTAAATAAATTTAAATGTTAACACCCTGGCTGGATGCTAAAAAAAAGAAAAAGCAGTAAATTCTCTTACATAGATACATACGTACATACATACATACATACATACATACATACATACATGAAGAAAGAAGAAAAAGAAGAAAAAGCAGTCAACAGGTTACACTAATCTTCAAATCTGTTAACCATCTGTTTATATTTAGCACAGAGAAAGTCCACATATGGTTTCCAGTCTCTTATAAAACTGTCTAGTCCATTATCTTTAATAATAACCAGTTAACTTCGCCATCTCTGCTAATTCAGTCAGTTTCAAAATCCATTCTTCAATGTGTGCCACTGTACTGCTGATTTTAGTATTACATTTATGTTTTTGTTTTGTACCACTAGCAAACTATTAGTCTTTTACTTCCAGGACAGCAGATTCATATCAGTTTCCCTGACTACTGTAAATCTCCAAGTTTTCAATTTTATTTAACTAGTATGCTAAACTTGCATTCAACAGAAGTCTCTCAGAACTTTTAACATATCTGCAAAGTGGGCTACAACCATATTAAAAAAATGATTGCCCTTTGTTAGCATGAGGTTGTAGTTGCCTCATTTTATCTGCAGCAGTTTAAACTGCTGTCTTTGCATTTTCAAAATTCTCTATCCTGTGCTTCATGGCTCTAAAGCCAAGCAGTTTTGGTTTTTGACAGAAGCGGCAGTTCTGCCAGCAGAATCTCTGCTTTAACACTCACAATTTCTTTTATATTAGTATGAATTGTTCCTGATAATTGCTGTATAAATATAGCTCTAATTAATATATTTCTGTAGGTAAATGTATGTGTTATATTGGGTGCAAAACAGAGGGTCCACTACAGCCTGTTTGGCCCTGAGCCTATCTTGGTCTGGATCTTATCTAGTTACATGCATGGATACACTCAGCCAAAACACTATTTTTCCGCACAAGGTAATGTAAATATTAATCAATTCAGTATAATTAAATCTTGACTGTTGTATATAATTGGTTGCATTTTCTTATTATGGTTTTTTTCAAATCATAAAATGGACCACGTTCAAGCAGTCTATACATATCACTGATGCTCTGGAAAATGGCAAGCTTTTACATGCAGGTTTATACCACAGGATTTCAAGACAAAAATATTATCTCTCCATATGAAATTTTCCTAATATATTTACTCTCTTTCATACTTTTATTTCTGTAATATAACTCTGACATTGTTCCATCCAGAATGACTTTGGACACTTACAACATAAAAGTATGAAAAAAAGTAAGCAAACAAATGGAAATCAGGGGGCAGACTTAACATTTTTGAGAAAATGGGGTGATACAAGTAAGTACACTTGCAGACATTGACAAGAGTCAGGCTTTTTCCTTTTTTGAGAAGAATTTGGGAATGTTTCTGAGTTTTTAAAAAATAAAGCTTATTATTAAGGTTTATACAACCATGTTTTCTATCTCAAAAGGGTTAGTTTTAGTATTTGTAGTGGGAAAAGGATAAACATATTCTTCTGCTTGGAAATCAACAGTACATAAATTTAGAATGAAGAACATGTAGTGATTAGAGTCAATGTTTTGTCACTCATTTCCTTAGCTAAAAAAATGTAAGAATTTAATTTTAGAAGTGCATTATTTTTAAAAATTGTTTTATTACAAAAGCCATCACTTAATCTAGGATGTTATTGCATATCTAGCTTTTCATTTGCACTCCTAGTAATTTTGTTTTTCTCTGTTCCACTCAATTCAATATTCTTGTAACTGGCAATATAGCAGTAGTTTGCAATCAATGAAAGAACAGCAGGGATCCTCTGAAGTCTTCGAGCTTGTAATATTAATTAGATGGAAAATGAAAAGGAAATTTCTGTGAACAATAATGCGGCAGTAAAAATGTCATAGCAGCAGCCATTTTTATCTTTCGTATGCATTTTTATTATGCATATTTACTGTAAATTGGGAAAAACAATTTTAAAAAATCTGGAACATAAGGTTAAGTTCTATTCACTCAGACTAAAAATGTATTTATAGTAATTTTAATATGCCGTAGAAAACAAAGGTCCTAGAAATAATATTCTAGAATTTCAGCTCTTTAAACTCTTTTTCATTTTTATTTATTTTCTCATAGTACCTCAGACTATATGCTGTGACTAGATAACATTCATGGTTATAAATCATTCCGCTGTTTTGCATATGCTAATTTTTATTTTATTATTATTAAAAGAATAGTAATGTACTACGTAATTCTACCCAGTATCAATCACGAATCCCACAATTCATCCCTTCTACTGTTTAAATGGGAGTCACTTCATCACAGTGTGAAATGATGATGATTAGGAAAGTGAGAAAATTTGCATTCTGTGAAAAGATTCAGCAATGTGCAGTTTTCCAACCCCATACATCACAA